GGAGGGGTAGGAGAACCAGAGAGTCTTTCCAGGGGTCGTGATCCATGATGGACACCAGGGGCCAGTGAGCCTTCCAGTAGTACCCCCCAGTGCCAGCAGGTGACGCCCCAGCCTCTAGAGGAGGAGTGAGGGGTGCTGGAGGGGAGGAGGGGAAAGGGGTGCAGAAAGAAAAAGACACCTCACAGGAGTCCCAACAGACACCCCCCTCTTTGAGCCTCGCCTCTGCCCCCTGGAGGTACGCAGGGCAGGAATTACCATCCTCGCTTCCACCTCGGAAGCCACTCAGCCAAGGAGAGTTGGCGGCCTGAGGTCACTGAGTGAGTGAGTTGAAGCCCTTGGGCGGCAACCTTGGGTGGGCCGAAAGTGACCCACCGGCTTCGCTTAAGCAAACTGTTTCCAATGGAAAGCTCAGAGCAGAACCTTTCTTCATCCAGGGCCACAAACCTGTTTTAAAAAACAAGTTATCAGGATCCCTGGGTGGCTCAGTGGTTTGGCACCTGCCTTTGGCCCAGGGTGTGGTCCTGGAGTCCCGGGATCGAGTCCCATGTCTGGCTCTTTGCATGGAGCCTGCCTCTCCTTCTGCCTGTGTCTCTCTGCCTCTCTCTCTCTCTCTCTCTCTCTCTATCTCTATCTCTATCTCTCTGTGTGTGTGTGTCTCATGAATAAATGAATTAAAAAAAAAAGCCAAGTTATCACCAAGATCTTTATGAGGCCAAGTCTCTGTGCCCCACCTCAGAGGCTGTGGTCCCTAGTATGCAAGAGCAGCCCAGGGGGAAGAGGGGTCACCAGGGGAGTCAGAGGGAAGGAGGGGTCGAATAAACAGCCACTCCCAGAGGTAAGGGGTTGTCAGAGGAAGAGGTTGTGACGTGGACAGGGGCTTCTCCACACACTCGGTACCAAGCTGGACCACCGTCTGAGGCACCCAGTCCCCAGCGGGCATATGGGGACACTGAAACCCAGGGAGGCAGGTGTCCAAGGTCACATGGCGAGTCAGAGGGTAAGGTGGGGTGGGACCTGCCATTGCAGATGCCCAGCCTGGGACTTCTGAACAAAGTTACAGTGTCCTTGAGAGGGGGAAGCTGGGGTGTCATATCAGGGCTGTCTCGGGACTCTGGTTGGGGGGAGGTCGACCTACAGGTAAGGATAAGGGGTGGGCTGAGGCTCTTTTGCATGGGCTAGAGGAGGAAGAGGAAGCAGATATTTGTATAAGCAAAACCCCAGGTTTAGGAGAGAGACACACAGGCGTACTATCTTCCCAGGCTGGCTTGGCTTGCAGAGCAACGAAAAACTTCCAGGTAGGTCGCTTATGTTCTATGTGGCCTCAGGTGGGTGACTTCACTTCTCTGAGCTCCAGCTGCTTCATCTGCAAGGTGGGGATAACAAGACCCTACTTTACCCTACATGAAATAATACGTGCAAATGACTTGGCACTGAGTGAGTGCTCACGAGATAGTGGTACTATTGTCATCATTATTGCTCTGGAACGATGCCAAGGGCCAAACCCTGCATTCTTAGCCCATTCTCTGGGCTGGCAGTCAGAGGACCTGGGTCTGTTTCCAGGGCAGCACAGTCCTGCTGCAGGAACTTGGCAAAAATCCCTTCCCTCTTTATGCTTCTAGGCTCAGTTACCCCACCTGTAAAATGAGTAGGTTGGCTCTCCACAGGTCTTTCATGACCAGGATGCTATGAAGGATAGTGTCTCTCCGTTTTCCTAGGTGAACAAGGGTTAGGTTTGGAGGATTGGCAGGTCTGGGTTATGGACCCCTTGGGTATCCCAGTTAGGCAGCGAGAAAGGCCAGTGGGGTCAGGAGACCCAGCTCCTGTGCCCAGCCCTGTGCTTTGTGTGACTTTGCCTGGATACCTGGACCTCTCTGTGCTTTCCTCATCCAGCAAATGGGTCCAGTTTGCCCCACCCTTCCCAATATCAGGGCTCAAGGAAAAGCAGGCCCAGGGCAGGGTGGGAATAGAGGTTTACCCCAGCGTGCGTCTGTGGAGTAGGGGGCCTACCCCAGCCCAACCTCTGCCCTGGGAGAGGACAGCACTGAGGGGACCATGAAGCAACTGGCATGGCTCCCCTGGGCCTCGGGGCTTCCTGGTTCTGCTCTCTCCCTGATCAGAGAAATAGTCCCCACTTTGCCTGAAAGGCCCCCCACCTCCCAGCCACCACCCAATCCTGGGCACCGTCTTCTATCATTTCTGGACCCCTGCCCAGCTTCCCTGTCACTCTCAAGCTCCCCGCCTATCCTCTAGCTCATTTGCCACACACCAGCCATAGCCATCTTCCCACTTTCATCCCCATCAGTCAAAGCTCCCAAGAGGCTGCCCTTGCTCTGCCCTCATCAGACTTATCTCCTGTCCCCCATCACTGAACTCCAGATTGGTCCTCCCGTTCTACAGGACCATGTGTCCCCTTGGGCCTCAATACCCGTGTTTATGCTGTCCCTCTGCATCTTGACGCCTATGTCACTTCCTCTTGTAAGACTTCCATGTTTCCTCCCTTTGGGTTGAATATCCCAATTCCTGATCCTTACCAAGATGTCATTTCATCTTTATTTGTGATTATTTGATTCATGCATGCTTCTTCCCCCCACCACACTATGAAAATCCCAAGGGCAGGGCCTTATCCACTACCAAACATGATGTCAACACAAAGGAGGAGTATTAGTACACACGTCAAATGAATGAAAACACGAACAAATGAACTCCTATACCTATCCCAACCTCCATACTCTTGGAGGTACCTAGAAAGCCCCAACCTTCCCACCCCCCAGGGATTGGCATGCTTTCTGCAGCATCCCTGACCAGAGCCCTCCGGCAGTCACTTGCATACCTCCTATGATAATGAGCTCACTTTCTATTTCCTGGCAGCTCACTTCATAAACGGATGGCCCTTTAGAGAGCACTTTATGATGGAGGGGTTTGAACCTATTTCTGTGCCTACAGCTTTCTCTCTCAGGTGCCGGGTCTGCCCTGCACTCCTCCCTAAACTCAGTCCAGATTTTCAAGCCCCACTTCGGATTTCCTCTTCCTTGTCCAAGCAATCCCAGTTTCATCAATTCAGAGAAAGAACCCAGTCCTCCTTAGCCTCTTCTCTCTTCCCTGTATACTTGCCAATTTTTAAGGGGACCCCTGTCTTAATTGCCCCCATTCTGTTATAGTAGCCTTCAGAACCCCAGAATGCAAGATTCTGACTAGGGCCAGTTCCTTTGGGTGGGCCCCCAGTACAGTCACACAGGGCCCAGCATTAGAAGGGCCCCTTTCATGGTTAAATTTTCTCCTGCCACCATCTTGAAGCTCTTAATAATTTTTGAACAAGAGATCTTCTCACCCTGTCATTTTGCACTGGACCCTGTAAATTGTATCCAGATCCCGACACATCTGTCCATCCTTGAAATGATGCTGACCTGCCCTGGCTGATGTGGAGACCCAAGCGAGGGACAGGTTGAATAGGTAATGGATTCTGTTCACCTTTTGGGGGCCACATTAAGGTGTGGTATCCCCAGGAAATGTTGGAGGATCAGACATCATCGGGGGGCTTCTGTGCAGCTTGTTGGCACTGAACCTCCACTGTGGAAAGGGAACCCATTGTCCCGACTTCCTGACCCAGAGCCTTGTCCTTCATGAATCCTTCCTCACATCTTCCAACCTTGCTACTCGCTCGCTCCCAGCTCCTCACCTGTTTTGTGCACTCCCTCTGGGGTAGCTATGAAATAAGTACCGGTCTTTAACAGAGGAAGGGGATGCAAGATGCATTTAAAAATACCACTGGGCCCCAGCTATAATAAATGAATCAGGGCTTTTAGATCCTGATTCACACAAACCAACTGTTAAAAAGACACGTTTGAATCAACTGGAGTATTTTGCATACGAACTGTTAGATAATACTCAAGAATTTGTGTTAATTCTGTTAGATGTGTTAATGGCATATTATGTAAGAAAGCGTCCGCGTGTTTTAGGGATGCATGCTGAAGTATGTAGGGGTAAAATGACACAACGTTGGAGATTTGTTTTAAAATACTCTAGCAAAAAAAGGAGGGGAGTGGATGAAATAACTTACAAAATCTTGATAATGGTTGGAGCTGGGTGATGAGCATATAGTGGTTCACTGCAAGTTCCATTTTTGTGTATGCTTGAAACTTCTCATTAAAATAAAAGGCGGGCTGGGGGAGGTTGAAAGGGTTTGTCAAGAGAATTGTGAGAAACTGCCTAGAATGTCTTGCAAAGACGCCACTTCCCTACCTCTTTAAGAACTTTCTCTGGAGGGTCAACTCAGGGAAACTCCCCAGTTGTATGCAGACTCCTGTATGTGCATATATGTGCATTTTCCTGGGAAAAACATCCAGAGCTTTCATAGGAGGCTCAGAAGGGTCGTGACCCCTCCCGCCCCCCCCCCCCCAAGATTCTACCTTACGAGGGAACTCTGTTTGAAGTCAGGTTGCTCCCTCACCTCAAGCTGGTCCCTGCGGAGGGCGCCGCCGGCCCGATGTGGCTGTGCGACACTGGCCCGGGCCCCCCCACCCCCGCCGCCCCTCGGATCCCTTTTCTCCCCCTGAGAGATGGGGTCACGGGCGGTCCACGCGGCGGCCCGGCGAGGACGAGGCGTCCGTGCGGCTCGGGCTCGCGGTGGGCCCCGCAGGGGACTCCCACACCTGGCGCCGCCTCGGACGCTCGCCCAGGACGCGCCCCCGCGCCCCCCGCGCCCCGCGCCCCCCACCCCCTCCAGGCCCCGGCCCGTCCACCTCCCGCTTGGGGCGGCAATTTGTCTCCTTTTGAACCCCCCGCCCCCGACGGGTTTCCCCCTTTGATTCGCGGCCCTGAGGCTCCCCCCGCTTTGAAATGCAAACCCGCCCGGGCTGGGGCCGCGGGCGCCCGGAGCTATAAAAGGCCTGGGTGGGGCGGGCGCGGCGGCCGGGCCCGGAGGCCAGGTGAGCAGTCTGCTCGTCGGGGCGGCCGGGCGGCGGCTCCGGGGCGCAGCATGCGCGCGGGCCCCCGCGGCCACCATGTACGTGGGCTATGTGCTGGACAAGGACTCCCCGGTCTACCCCGGGCCCGCCAGGCCCGCGGGCCTCGACCTGGGCCCGCAGGCCTACGGCCCCCCGCCCGCGCCCCCGGGACCCCCGCAGTACCCCGACTTCGCCGGCTACTCCCACGCGGAGCCGGCCCCCGCACCCTCCGCGGCCTGGAGCGCGCCCTTCTCCGCGCCCAAGGACGACTGGGCCGCCGCCTACGGCCCAGGCCCCGCGGCCCCCGCCGCCAGCCCGGCCCCGCTGGCATTCGGGCCCCCTCCGGACTTCAGCCCGGTGCCCGCGCCCCCTGGGCCCGGCCCCAGCCTCCTGGCGCAGCCCCTCGGCGGCCCGGGCGCCCCGTCCTCGCCCGGAGCGCAAAGGCGGACGCCCTACGAGTGGATGCGGCGCAGCGTGGCGGCCGGAGGCGGCGGCGGCAGCGGTAAGGACCCCTCCTCCCTCGCCCTGCGCCTCCGGACGCTTCCCCGGCACCGGCAGGTGCCAGGGCGAGGCCCAGCCGCCCCTGGCTGACCCCTGCCCCGGCCCGCGAGGGCGCCCGCCTGGGCCTCCCTGACCCTGGAGTGGCCCTGGAGTGCTGCTCGCCCAGCTGCCCCTTCTGAATCCCAGGCTGCCAGCCTTGGTAAAGCACAGCCCGTCCCGTACAGAGAGGGAACGGAGGCGCGGAGACGTGAAGGAACGTGCCTGCGGTGGCCTGGCACGGCCTGAACTAGGACGCAGGTCCCCAGACTTACCCCAGGGCTCGTTAGCAACACTGGCCCCGGTCGTCATCCGTTGCTCCCACCCCGTCCCAACCCCGGAGTAAGCTGCGGACCCTCCCCAGGACGGGCGATGCCCTGATGGTGTGCACACAGGCGGGCCCCCTGCCTTTCCAAGGCTCAGTATCCCCATGGGTACAGTGAATCGACTGGTGGCTCCTATCCTTTGGACCAGAAAAGAGCCCTCTGTGGTTAGATTGGGGTGGGGGGTCCATACCTTGCCATCCCAGGGCCCTCCCTGAACTCTTGACCCTGGGGGAGGGGAAAGCAGGAGCAGTTGGGAAGGTGGCTACTGTTTGGCTCCTGAGACTGTGAACCTCCTGCCCCCAGGCAGGCCTCTCTGATCCACCCTCTTCAAAGGCAGAGGAGGGGGCAGGACAAAGGGCCAGCTTTAATGAGGGGCGGACTGACCTCCTTTATAGGTCCCCCCTTTGTCATGTAACAGGCTGCGCCTTAGCTCGGTAGTGACTCCTGTTGGCCGGAAAGTGAACACGATACCCCATTGTCCCGACTGTGTCCGGCCTGTCCTGACAAAGGCCACCTGGCCTTAGGGGCGGGAAGTCGGCCTGCCCACCCTTTGATGTCTGTCCCCTCCCCCCTTCCCCCAGCTGGGAGGGAGCCTGGGACTTCCCCCACCTCCTCTCTCTCTCTCTTCACCCCCATGTCCCCTGCACACACTCCTCACTCCTGGGACAGATGCTGGGGAGATCTGGCTATAATCTGAGCACCTTCTTGGAAGTCCCAGGGACACAGAAGCTCCTATCTGCCTCTGGAGGCCTCTCATTTGTGTGACCTTGGCTAAACAGTAACAGCTAATCTTTAAGGACCACTTACTAATGAATGGACCAGGCACTGACCTAAGATCTTGCATTAATTCTCACAACATTATTGTAGGTACTATTATCATCCTCATTTTTAACTTGAAAAATCTGTGCCCTAGAGAGCTTAAATCCTTGCAGGAGGCCATATGACGAGTAAATGGAATGGAGGTGGGGGTGGAGGCTGGGACTTGAACCCTGGCAGATTGACCACCAAGACTGTGTTCTCATCCTCTCAACAGCAGCTTCTCTTAAATTAGTCATCTTTTCTGCATCTCAGTTTTACCACCTGTGACATGATAAGGAAGGGTCTTGTACTTTTCTTTAAGTTATAAAAGGACCCCTTTGGAAAATCTGGTGGAAAATACAAATCTCTCTAGAAAAAAAAAGTGTTGCCTAATTCAGCAATTTGAGGGGTTCTAGAAGCTCCCTAAGGACTTCTCCATTAACCCCAGTTGAGAACCCTGCATTAGATTAAATGAGAGGAGGTGTCTGGGGCCACAGATTCCCCTGGGTTTTGTGTCTGTTCCCTGGAGAAGGAAGCCTGCTTTTCCTACTCCTCTATTCCACTTGCTGCTTCCTGCTCATCAGGCAACTTTGGAGATGGCAGGGTGGGTTCCAGATGGAGGAGGAGTTCCTCAGGAGCAAGGACCTGGAGACGGTGTGCCAGTGGGGATCAGAGGACTGGTGGGAGGCCCCAGGAGAGCTTTCAGGCTGTGTGATGTTGGGCACAGGAGTTGTGTGTGAATTCCGCTCAGCCTCTGGTCTCAAAAGTCATTTGGAAACTGTTGTCCCCGGGCAGGTAGGGGCCTAGCAATAAGTCTGCCCAAAGGCAAAAAATTTTTCCTCCTTTACCCCCAGAAAGTAAAAAGAGAGAGAGCCAAGGGAAGTTTGCAGGCTCCTAAGCAAAGTGGCTGCCCCAGAGACCCATTCTGCTGAGGACTCAGGATTGTCAGCTTTCTAGAAACTAGAAGCTGCTGCCTGTGTGCCCGGGGACATCTGACTCCAACCAGTGTTCCTGAGATGAAACAAAATTGGCAGAATCAGGATGGAGTTACAGACCCTCCCTGAGAGAGTAGGCCAGGCCGTGCCGCCTGCCCACACCCGCCCACACACAACCTTGGCCTCAGTTTCTCCTGGGCAGTGAAGATCCAGGGTGTCTAGGATGTTGCCTGTGTAATGCTGTTGTCTGGGATGGCAAAGGGAAGGTGGGTACATGCCAACACCCACCCCCGCACCCCCTTCCCCCACAGCAAATGTTGCTGGCCACCTGGTCTTGTGGTACCAGGTTTTCTTGCCAGCCCCTTCTCTCCTGCATCTGAGCCTCTAGCACTCTAGAATATTTGAACTGGACATTTAGAGACCAAACATACCATTGGGAACTAAAGCCCAGGGACTGTAAGAAGTGTTCTAGTTTCACACAAGTGGAGGCTGAGCTGGGATAAATATTGGATGAGTCAGTTAAAATTTTTCCAATGGTTTCCCATTATATTTAGGGTGAGATCTATCCTCCCTGAAGTCTGCAAGACAGTAGAGCATCAGCACCTGGCCCCTGCCTGCCTCCCCAGCCTCGCCCCAGTCTCCTTAATCTCTCCTTGGTCACCAAGCTCTAGACAGCCTTCTTTTAGTTTCTCAGATGTGCCACGTCCTGCTGCAGGTCTTGTGCATACCCTGTTCCCTCTTCCTGGGAACTCCTGTGTCCTAACTCTCTGCAGGCCTAGCTTCTTCTCACCCTTCAGGTCTTAGCTTAATGGTCATCTCCTCTGAGAGGTCCTCCATGATTTCCCAAGGAAGGCTCCCCCTATACACATCGATAATCCTCACCATGTTTCCTTCAGAGCACCAACACTGATTTCAATTCACTCACTTATCTGTGTGTTTGTCTATTTCCCCACCCACCCATCTACCAAAGTCCACCAGAGTAACACCCATGAGGTCCAGAGCCACATCCATTTGACCCATCACTACATTCCAGGCACCATCATATAGTACATGACATTTAGTAGGGGCTTATACATTTTGCTGAATAAATGAACAGGACAATGTGAAGAACAGTAAGACAACTGGGAGAAGAGGGAGAGATGAGATCTTGGCTTTGACATGTTTCTGAGGTCCCAGCCCTAGGGATAGGACCCATGACTGTTGAGCTGAGCAAGCTCATGCCAAGGTTGGAAGCCTGTCCCTCCTGGGATGGTACGCTCAATACTCAGCTGAGGAGCTGGCGTAGCTGAGGCTGGGATGGGGACTATGACCCCGGTTTTATCCTAAGGAGGGACAGTGAGAACCGGAAAGATGAGGGAGAGTCTGTTGCGCTTCACTCCATCATCAAAATACTCACCACCTGAGTGATTGATTACTGCCACCTGGCTCAGGCCTGGATAGGAGAGGACTATAAGGGGTTCTATTTTCTATTTTGTGGTGGTACCTGTTTGCACCTATAAATAGCAGTGTTTTCAATGAGTCCAACCCCTTCAGCTTTCTTTTTTTTTTTTTTAAGATTTTATTTATTTATTCATGAGAGACAGAGAGAGAGAGAGAGAGAGGCAGAGACATAGGCAGAGGGAGAAGCAGGCTCTCCACAGGGAGCCTGATGCGGGATTCCATTCCAGGACCCTGGGATCACAACCTAAGCCAAAGGCAGACGTACAACCACTGAGCCACCCAGGTGCCCCCTGCCCCTTCAACTTTCAGATGGACAAACTCAGGCCCAGGGAGGAGGAACCCTCCTCCTTCCCCACCCTCACATTCCAGACCCTCTCCCTTGGCCCCTTGCCACAGCCACCAGCCTGGCCTCTCACCTTCAGCCTCTCTCTGATGTCCCAGCTGTCTTCACAACCATTACCAGATTTTCAAGGCACATCTCCTGCTCAAGAGCATTCCATGGCTTCCCAAGGCTGTGGAATCCCCGTTTTGTTATATGGCATTTCACTGTCGTCAAATCCAGCCACGTTTCTTTGGCATTCAGAGCCCTCTTGAGAACTGGCTCCAACCCACTATTGAAGCCAGTATCTAGTTGGTCTAGATACAGAAGTACTTACTGGGGAGGCTAAGGGCCACTGCCTGGGAGCCTCAGGCCTGGAGCTGCATATCTGTGAGAAACTGCACAGCCTCAGGCAAGTTAACTTGGATCATTTCTCTGAGCCTTAGTTTCTTCCACTATAATGTTAGGATAACAATAGGATTGCACCTTGAAGCGATGGTGCCCATCAAGCCCAGCCCCTGTGCTTGGTACACAGTAGGTACGCAGTGCATCAAGTGCCCATGATCGTCTCTTCCCGTCCTTAGCAGGTGCACAGAAACATACACCTCACACTCCCTGCCTCTCCAGTCTGGGTCCCCCAACCTAAACTACCCTTCCTGCCGTCCTACACCTTCACCAGTTCAAATACTGCGCCAAGGCCACCGCCTCTAGAAAACCCTCCTGGATTCCCTCCCCTCCAAGCACTGTAGGACCTTATTTTAACAACCCTTTTTTTTTTAAGTTTTTTTTTTAATTATTATTATTCATGAGAGACACAGAGAGGCAGAGGGAGAAGCAGGCTCCATGCAGGGAGCCCGATGTGGGACTCGATCCTGGGACTCCAGGACCACGCCCCTAGCCGAAGGCAGACGCCCAACCGCTGAGCCACCCAGGCGTCCCTTATTTTGACAACCTTCATCACTCTTGTTTATCGCTTCCATCTACCTCAAGGACTAGTGGTCAGCCCCATCCTTCTCACCAGGCCTTGCGCCAAGTGATAAAGCTGGTAACTGTGGCATTGGTTTGAGTCCTTACCGCGTACCAGGCGGAGTGCCAAGAACTTTGCATGGGTTTTCTCACTCAAGCTTCAGAACAATGCTAAGAGGTG